TATTTATATAAGTCTTCGTACCAAGTTTTAATTCTATTAACTCAAAGAATAAGACTTTCATCCCTTTTTCATCCTCTTAGGGGTAGATTTTCGAAGAATCCTGATACACGTTATTCTTTATTTCTGGTCTTTAGTAAAAATACCTTCTTCGCGTGTCTCAATTTGCCGTGAAATTAATCAATATAAAAACCTCGACACCGTCCTAATCCCCTGTTCCCCTAAAACTAAAAATTACAAACTTTATAATTTTTTTGATAAGTATTCGTGACAAATTTCAAGTCTATTTACTCAAGGAATAAGATTTTTCATACGATCTTTCATCCTCTATTTTAACACCTTGGGGGTGAATTTTGGAAAATCCTTGTTTAGTGCACCACTAGACCTCACAAGGAACCTACGTGCCAAATTTGGAGTCTCTAGACCTAGCAGTTTAGGCTGTGCGTTGATATGTCAGTCAGTCAGTTTCTTTCGTTTTAAAATATGTTAGATTCACACGAAATCAGGCGAAATATACTTTTTAGTTCAAGTTTCGATTTTAAAGTTTGTTTATTTTTGTTTACAAATTATTATTATTTCATGCATTTTAGTGTAAAGCGCCTACACATCATAAATAACAAATAACAACTCCTTAAAAAGCCGTACACTATGTATCGTGCAAATTACACCGACCCATAGTAACCAAAAATGTTCATAAAATTAAAACTACTAGGTCAAACTAAGTTATTTTTTTATAGGACTAAATCACCAGTATCTTTCATCGAATTAAAAAATAATCGATCAAATTAGATCAGAAATCTTTACACAGACGGTGAACTTCTAAACAAAGTAGGTATCGTAAAAATGACACCGTCCAAGTTAAAAATATTCACAAAAAATAAGAACTGTATTAAATTTTTATGGAACCAAATAGTAACCATTCCGCATTAGACAAAAAACACTTAAATCGCATCAGAGATCTCGGCATAATCGGTGTACATAAGTACATACAAAAAACACACCGACCGAAATGAGAACCTTTTTGTAGTCGATTAATATAATTTGTATCATTCATTATTTGAGGTTGTGTTACGGCGTAGCGATGGTCCAGATCCAGTTTGCATAAAAAGCTTGTGTAGACTAGACTAAGTTAGATTATGGGATATGCCCGCTATTCCACTGGCGTGACCCAGATATGTAAATTTCTTGAAAAACGTTCCACTTCCTTTTAGACATTTATCAAGCAGGCTTTATAAATAGTCCAGTCGGAATAGCCATAATTTGGACCGACTTCTATTCTAAGACACCAGCGCTTAGCCAATTTTTTCCTAGGTAGTCCCCACGAATATGCCCTCCATTTGTCCCCGCTAGAACCCGTATTTTGTAGCCAGGAAAATTGTTTAAACAAAAAAAAACCGGTTTTTTTGAGTTTTTTTGCTTGTAAACGGGGATTTTGAAAATTTTTTTGAATCAAAGTTGTTCATTAGCTTACCCTCTACAAAATCAGTTCTATGAAAAAATAACGTGAGATTGTTAGTTTAGCAGTAAATTGCAGTTATGTCGGTTTTACGTTTGCAACAATTCAACATGTTATAATAAACATTTTGATTTCTAAAGTAGTTTTTTTTTAAACTAATGTATTTTTCTCTCCTCAACTCGTATATACTATTCTGAATATATATATAATATATATATATATAATACTAATATACCCTGAGAATTCCGATTATGAACGGGAAGAAAAAAGGACGAAATTAATTTAATTAGAAATATAGAATACAACGCAGTCTTGTAATCGAATTTTAGTTAATAGTTTTGTAAATAATTTCTGTACATAAATAAACTGAATTTTTTAAATTTTCAATCGTATATTCGAGTTGAGGAGAGAAAAATACATTAGTTTAAAAAAAAAATATTCTACGTCAATTTTTAAAAAACATTTAATCGTCCAAAAACGAACATTTTTACTAACGATTTTTTTCTACTCGATCGATTCCTCAAAATTCTTGGTGAATCGAATCACCTGAATTTTTTTCCCCGCTGTGCGCCTTCTGGGAAAGACGGGACAGGCAAGTACTTTTTTTTCGGAGATTGAGAATTGTTGCTAAAGTTTGCGACACAGGTCGATAAATTTTACATGACTCTCTTGGGAGTGGCGTTACCCACATGATAAACTACTTTAGAAATCAAAATGTTTATTATAACATGTTGAATTGTTGCAAACGTAAAACCGACATAATTGCAATTTACTGCTAAACTAACAATCTCACGTTATTTTTTCATAGAACTGATTTTGTAGAGGGCAAGCTAATGAACAACTTTGATTCAAAAAAATTTTCAAAATCCCCGTTTACAAGCAAAAAAACTCAAAAAAAAACGGTTTTTCTTTGTTTAAACAATTTTCCTGGCTACAAAACACGGGTTCTAGCGGGGACAAATGGAGGGCATATTCGTGGGGGTCTATACTATCTAGGAAAAAATTGGCTAAGCGCTGGTGTCTTAGAATAGGTCTCATGTTTATTCCGACTGGACTAAAATTACTTTACTAGACGATCGAGTAGGCACTACAACTCGTATTTTGCAAACTTGATTTTTTAAATAAATGAAAACGTTTGCTATCATGAAATAAGAATATTAATTCCTTCTTTACAAACGCTAATTGGGTTTTTAAATAATACAAAAAAAATGATTATTGATTGTACCTAGGAACTTCAGTGAATTTTAAAGAAAACTTGAAAACTTCATAAGTCAAATCAAAGAAATTATCCAAATAACTTGATGACACGTAAATGTAACAAAAATATTAATTTCATGCGAAGGAACTTGCAAATTATTGGAAAAACTTAAATTGTAATAGCGTTGGTGAGAGATATATATATATATATATATATATATCTCACCAACGCTATATATATATATGTGTGTGTGTGTATATTCATCAATTTGAAATTCATCAATGTTTTGGTGGGTGAACTAAAGCCATATTAATGTAATAGGTATATGGTTCGTGTTACCTGACGATATGCATACACGACCGAGCTGAGCAGTTTCTAGGTGCCGCCGCACAGTCAATGCGCACCATGCGCAGGATCTAAAAGAAACGCAGCCTGCGCAGCACCGATGCCGCGAACATCTTGCCCCGAAAAGCCATCGTAGTTACATCTGTTAATATTATGGTTCGTGTTACCTGACGATGAGTATACACGACCGAGCCGAGCAGTTTCTAGGTGCCGCCACGCCGGTCCATGCGCACCATGCGCAGGATCTGGACGAAGCGTAGCCCGCGCAGCGCCGACGCACAGTGGATCGACGCCATACAAGCGATGGGACATAGGGTAGTTAAAAAATCATGTCACGAATTTTGAAAAACAGGTAGTACCACGTAGTATTCACCTACTTATTAGCTATAAAAAATATTAGCAGCATTTTCAATCGGGATTCTTATTTGATGAAATATGGTACCAAACATGGTCTTCTTAGTATGGAAAATTACATAAAAATTCCTGTATCTTAAGATTCCGTACTTGATCTTTTTATATGTTAATAAGACATATATTTGCTACATTTTTTCCCAAATCAATAAGCAACGCGTCCCTTACTGGATATAGGTATTGCCCGCCGTAGATTTGCAAACCGAGATGGTGTAGCTTTTCGTCATTCACAAGTGCTTGTTTTATACTGGATAAACGATATTGGATTTGACCGATTTTTGTCATTTTACTACTACAGATATATATACAGAAGTTATTATTGTAACATATCTTATTTTCGAATTTTCACTTAGTGATGAGACGAAGTTTGGTCAGGACATGAAATATGATCAATATATCAGTTATGATTATATTATTTATAAGCGGCTCGTCCCGGCTTCACACGGGCGTATTAAATACTATGGAAACATAATGAATCAGCATCCAAAGAACATGAATAAATTAATACAGATTTTGAAAGTAGCCGGACTGAATTTCTTATGTAATTCTTTTCCATTACCTTTTGGAAGCCTCGTAGTCACGCCACGACATACAGACAGACTTTTTGCATCTTTGACGAATCACAGACTAACAGATTTTTTGACTATTTGCCAAATCACAACTGACTGACAGAGGTTTTTAATCTTTGACGGACACAACAGACTGTCAGAGGTTTTGATTCTTTGACGGATAAAAATTGACTGACAGAGATTTTTACTCTTTAACGGATCACAACAAACTGAAAGATTTTTTGAATATTTGACAGATCACAACAGACTGACAGACTTTTTGACTTTTGACAGATTACAACCGACTTACATACTTTTTGATTCTTTGACGGATAATAATATTTGATTGACTGATAGAGTTTTCAACAAATCAGATCAAATCTGCTGAAAACAGTCAGTGCATTCGCCGAAGGGTGCGGGTTCGAGTCCCGTCTGCTGCTTGGTCCATGTGGATTTTTTTCATCTGTTACGATGTTTTACTTTTTGTATTTTTTACATACCCTTAATAGTGTGAGACAGTATAAATAGATGCCTTACTTACAGTGTATTATTACAGTATATTACCTAGTTGAAATTTCATCCTCATCCGTGTGTTCACATTATTACAATTCCGTGGTTTTGCTATTAATTACCTACTACCTTTACGTTTATCTTCATATTTCATTTCATTTCATTTCACTTCCAGCTTCTTCAGTACCGAAGAAACTGATACAAACTAGCCTCAAATTATCTAAAAATAAAGATGTTGCTGAAATCCTGAAAAGTACTTAAAGGAAAATCCAGGTCCAATGACTAAATTGAAACAATTTGTTCAAAATGAAGAAATAAAACTTTTGGTTCTTGTTTAAGCTAAATAAGTAGGCAAATACTATGTTACTTCTTATTTTTCAAAATTTGTGACATGATTTTTGGGTATGTCCCATCGATTCTATGGCGTCGATCCACTGTGCGATGCCGCGAACACCTGCCCTGAAGAGCTCATACCCAGCACCACCAGCGACGCGATGATCGTAGTTACATCTGTTAATATTATGGTTCGTGTTACCTGACGATGAGCATACACGACCGAGCCGAGCAGTTTCCAGGTGCCGCCACGCCGGTCCATGCGCACCATGCGCAGGATCTGGAAGAAGCGCAGCCCGCGTAGCGCCGACGCCGCAAACACCTGCCCCGACGAGCCCATGCCCAGCACCACCAGTGAAGCGAGGATCGTAGTTACATCTGTACAAAGACACCTTATTTTAACACATCGCACGCTTTAAATGGAATATTTACTATTTACAGACAAAATTAAAGAACTGGCGATGGCGCAGGTGGTTAGTGCGTTCGGTCTGCGTTCGTGGCAGTTAAACAAATTTTTGCAATTGCTGGTTATTGGTTAGGTAACAAAAACATATTATCTCGAGGTTCTCCGTGCTTCGGAAAACACGTTAAGCAGTTGGTCCTGGATGCATCTGTTGTCGTTAGAACCCACCAATCCGGACTGGGCCTGCGAGGTGAGTCATGGCGCAATTCTTATTTCATCCATAGGGCAGGCCTGTGCCCCAGCAGTAGGGACACTAATAGGCTGATGATGATTTTAAAATCATTGTTTTGTCATGAATCTTCATCAAATTATGTCAGCGATACGACGCTCACTGCTGAGCATGGGCCTCCCCCAAGGATCTCCACACCGATCGGTCCTGTGCCACTCGTATTTATCAGCCCCCCGTAACCTTCACTAGATCGTCAGTCCACCTCGTGGGGAACCTGGGTAGGTTCCCCACGAGGTCAGTGGGTACTGAGCGTAGTCATTAGTCAAGTCTTACTTTACACTTCAAAAAATATCTTGAGTAAAAACTATAGTATCGACAACGAAACTTGCGCAGTAGCAATTTTATAAACATAAATGTCTACTGCTCTCATAGAGCAATTCGGTCGACGCGGACAGGAGGGGAGTAGGCAAACATTATAAACATTTTTTAGGTGAAAACTTCTTTAGCGGCGTTGTACACTTTTTTTGTATGGGTAAAAAATATTAAAATAAAAGCATCATGACACCCAATAAAATTGGAAAGATTGTTGACTTTCAATATATTGGACGAAACATAGTAATATTTTGTTTAACCGTATTATAATAATAAGTCTCTATCTAGGACGTCCACGTGGCAGCTTTGCCACATGCAAGAAAATGCATTTTTTATACAATAGGTGTCGCTAGGTGCGCTTAAATGTGATTCATGTAAGTTGATTTCTTTAAATAGATGTCGCTAAGTGCGCTTAAACGTGATTCATGTAAGTTGATTTTTCTGAGAGATAAACTTTTTTGTAATATAAATTGTCATGTTTGTGTACGATAGCACAATAAATAAATATTGTATTCTACCACATACATGATAGTACTTTTATACTGATAATTAAAGCAATTCGTGCAAAATTATTCCTTAACCATTACAAAATATCAAAAATGCACAACGTTAATATTCAAGTTTTCACTTCTGCCGGCACTCCCGGAGTGCAACCCGTTGTTTTTATTTATTTATTTATTGTAAGATGCTTAAAAATAAAATAGCACAGTGTGACCTAAACCCGCACTTTACGCACGCTTTTCCGTGACCTAAGTTGCCTATTTCTGTACGGTGTGTAAATGAATTGACCAACTTCACTCATGTAGAAAAAATAAAAGGAAACCATTTAAATGTCATTTGGAGCTTAAAACTCACAGCAAACAAATGACAAATTAGCGATAGGTTAGGGATTTTTAGTGACAGCCAAAACAAGGAGAAACGGTTAGCTATAATTCATTCCGCGAGAATTGTATCTTTGTTTAATATATTGTTATGCCAATCAAGGAATAAACGTTCATGGATACATTGAAATTCTATTTTGTTGTAATGATATTTGATTTTTTCCTTTTGAAATATACTTTCAAAATGGTAATCTGAAAAGGAATTCTTTCTTTTCAGAGTTTGACTTGCAGTCTGTATTGCAATTCTTTGTGATTGCAATACATGAATTTTACTTTCAAAACACTAATCGCATCCCCCGAACCCCCCCTCTTGCCCGCGTCCGGGGCGGGTTTATGTCACACTTGCTATAAAATAGTATACGATACTTGTGGCCTAAGTTGTCTATTACTGCACGGCGTTTAACTAACTTCACGCCTTGCAGTAATAGGCAACTTAGGTCACGCGTATCGTAATGTACTATTAATATATATATTCATTTCTAATCCACTTAATGTATTGTTAATATGTAGCATCCGCCGCAGCAGAAGTTGCAGATCTTAATTATAGGTACTAGATATAAATGAAATTAAAATAAATCTTAAACTAGGTTAGACATATTGCTGAAGTTCATCCTGAATGGCTGTTAAAATGCTTTTTAAGTTTATTTTTTATTTTACAAATGTTATTACAAGTAGTATACAATAATTGTAGTTCTGTAGGTAGCTCGTTTATAATTTTTGGTAATATACATTATTGCCACACCCTTGTTTCATATAAGTTATTATAATTTGGGATCATGTAGGTATCTATATAATCTAGCTGTCTTAAGTTACTAGATCGGTTTCTCAATGTGAGTAAATGTTTATAATGGTATTCTTCTATTAATGTTACAAGTTTAAATTCATCGAAAATATTTAGAATATTACAGTAGTGGAATAAAATTTCGTTATTTAGATTTAGTCTGAGGCGTATTTTCTTTGGAACAAATGTTTTAACTAGACTGACCTGTAAATTATATATCTGTTGCAAGTGTGTTTTACAGGATCTGCCCTAACTACTCAACCCATAGTTAATTAAGGAATCCGCCATAGAAATATAAAATAATCTTAGAGTAATCAGTGGCAACTTATAACGAAGAATTGTCATTTTGCTCAAAATTGACTGTAGTATGTACGTGGTATATTCGATATGTGAACCCCAGTTAAACCGCTGATAGATAACGATACCTATGTATTGGTGAGTGTCAACAAACTGCAATTGTTCGCATTGACAAGAAGTCGTCGGTATGAGTATGCGCCGATGTAAGCAATTATGATCGTGTGTGATAAGGACGGACCGGCAATCCTACCTATTGTGCGCTGAGCAAATGTGCATTGCATAGCTTTAGTTTTTGGTGCATTTAGGAATAGACCCGTATCGTGTGCTCACATACATAAAAGAATTAAGTTATGCTGTATGCGCCTTGCTGCCTCGTTAATATCATCATGCGCAGCAATCAGACATATGTCGTCTGTGAATTGGTATACCAAGCAATCCTTAAAGATACGATGTATATCATACACGTAAAATAAATATTCCAAGGGGGCTAAGATTGACCCTTGGGCCGTGCCAGAGGTAGTAGGTATCATATTACTCAAAGCATTCGACACTTTTACAGTAGTAAATCTATTTCGGTGATAGTTTTGCATTAGTAAATGACCTTGAATGCCATTCTGTGATATTTTTTTAAACAACGTATCATAGTGCAAAACATCGAATGCCCTACTGAAGTCAACAAATATAGCCATCAAGTGTTTTTTATTATTTAAAATCAGAATTTATTTCATTTGTAAATTCTAAAAGTAATTGTGTTGTGTTCCGGTTATTTTGAAATCTGAATTGTTGATTGTTGATTATTTTATTAATTTTTAAATATTCATTAATTTGATTGCCAATAAATCTTTCATTTATTTTGTCTATACAAGATAAAATAGTGATAGGTCTTTAGTTGCTGGTATCAGAGTAACTTCCTTTTTTATGAATGGGTCGAATAATACCTTTTTTGTGTCTGGGAAATGCCTTACGCATCCTTTAACAACTGGGGGAGCGAGAAGAATGTATGTGGGACTCCTCCCTGCCCCCTTCAGCCAGCCTTGGAGCTCGCTGCAGTAAACAGGGCCCTACCTACGCCCTGAACAGGGCCACTAAAAACCAGACAATACTCCCCCCCTTAGTGCGTGCTGAGAGGGCGGGTGTGGTCGCGGCACCCGTTTCCGAATAGCCGCGCACCCGCCAGGTGTGTGTCCGCGGACGGACACACCCCGAGGGTCGAATAATACCTATCTTAAGCAAAACCGGGTATGTTTTTGTTTGTATGCATTTATTGATTAGATGTTTTATTACTGGAGTAAATTCCGTTGATAATATTTTCATATCAATTATTTTTATCTTATCAAATCCGAGACTTTTCTGTGTACTAAGTTGATTAATTATTAAACATACATCGTTACCCGTCGCTTTCCTAAATCTCATGTAACGGTCTAGTTGGATCTCGTAAGATGTCGTATCTAACAATTGTGTTTCACATGCAATCTTTTTTATCTTTTGAATACTATCCCGAAACTCAAATGCAAATTTATTTCATAAATTAGTCGGTGACAAATCAAAAGCTTGCAAAATTATATTATCTATTGATTTAGTTAGTCTGCCACAGAGCCTATTTATAATTTGCCATAGTTTTCTAGGGTTATGAAAATTATCTAAAACGTCCTGTTTTGTTTTATGTTTCTTGCCTTATTTATCTCTTTAATTGTTTTATTCCTGTAAATATTGTAATTTAATCTATTTATCTTATTATTTTTATTCTTCATCGATGATTTAAATAACTCATGTTTTTTTCTTTATCATACTATTCAATTTATTGTTCATCCACGGCAGCTTATTTGTCGTGAATTTATTTTGTTTTATTTCTGTATAACTATATTTAGCATATGCCTGCTCAAATGTTTCAGTGATGAGTAATATTATATCGTTAGGATCATGCATAGATAAGGCGTGACACGGGTTTATGTTACGCAAATGATTTATTACCTTATTATAATCATATTTTACAATTAAATTAGCATGCTGGTAATTGCCAGATTCCGACATCGTGTTATTAAAAATCACACAAGCTGTCGTTATAATGGTCTGCAGGCGTCGAGCAAATTGCAACGGAGTTGACCTTATGCCTCCGATAGTGTTTAATGAAGATGTGATCTATGCTACTTGTCCATTTATCTTTTTTTAATTCAACTCTCGTAAATTGGTTTATTGCGCAATCAAGACAGTTTTCGACAAAAGATTCCAGTACGTTGTGCAATTATCTAATTTTTTAAGTAAATCTAAATTCATGTCACCCAACATTATAAAGATGTTTTTACAAAACAAATGTTTTATGTTGCTGATATCTGTTATAAAGCCATATTTAGAATAATCCCGTGGCCTGTAAATAACACATACATTTATTTTGTATACATAACTAACTTGAATTTC